CGCTGCGGGGACCTACCCAGCAGCGCCCCAGCTGCTCTGTCCTAGGCGTCCAGATTCAGCTGCTGTTGAAACTGATCAGCAGCTGATTCCAGGAAGCCCGGGGCAGATCAACTCCACCTCGGGCTTCCTGTAGTCAGCCGCTGGTCAGTTTCAGCAGCGGCTGAATCTGGACGCCAGTTCTGACTTACGAACAAATTCAACTTCAGAACAAGCCTACAGTCCCTATCTTGTACGTAACCCGGGGACTGCCTGTACTTATGTCAATGGGATGGGTAGTGTCTATAGTGAATCAGTAGAGCAGCACAGATTTTTCATACATTAAACCATAGATGATTCCATCATTTCAAGCCGTTTGCAGGTTTCAGATAATTGTTTATGAACCCTGATCAACTTATGTATGATGTAAGTCATCTTTTGCTTGTGCCACTATGAACCCACAAATTATATGCAAACATTGATAGATGGTCTTACACAGAGAACTTTTTGAATACACTAATGCTATACTACTGTCTAAAGATCAGAGCCTGAGGAGGGTACAGTATGACCAAATGCTTATCTGATAATCAGTTGACTAATCGATTCTCTCTCCCCTCCACTTCCTCCCATGCTGTCACTTTCTGATAGAGGCAGCAAAGGGGAGGAGGAAGGGGGTACTTCAAAGCCACAGTGCTGCACAAGGAAGCCTGGGCTCAGCTCTGAGGTGCTGCTGCTTTGAAGCACCAAAGTGGTGCTCATAGAGGCAGCGCTGCACAGCTGGTCCCTGACCCAGGGTCAGCTGGGGACTCCCCAGGAGAACACTGGGCTCCAGTGCAGAATTTCAGTGAAACCCAGCATCTGCTAGGGACTCCCCAGCTCCTCATGGCATTTCAAATTGGCAGTGCAACATGAAGCCCAAGGTCATCAACTACTCAAATTGTAAATTAACTGTTACATAACATCCTCCGTATAAATACAGAAATTCCATCACTTCTGGTGAGTTTCATCCTGAACTTTGTTAGGGATTTTTTGAGTTAATTTGCAAAGGCCACAAATGCTATTTCTGTGCGCCATAAGACAGTTTAGAAGTCTAACTGAGTCTCTCCCTGTGTCTCGGATTATAGTGCTGATGCTGTTTTTAGCGGTTTTCGTCTTCGTCATCAGGAAGTGTATATCTATGCAGAAATCTGGGTGAGAGATTGTTCTAAATGTCTGTTAATTTCAATGTGTATTAACTATTTGATTCCATAGTTTAATGCTGGCAAAATTTAATTAAATGAATCATGATCTTCATATGCAACAATGGGGCAAAAGAAATAGACAATCACTAGCATAATCTTATGAGTCTGCAGCTAGTGATAGCTTAATGTTCCTCACATGGCAATTTTAAAAATATAATTAAAAACAAAATTCTCTCCCCACTCGACTCTTCACCCTGCAAGAAGGACAATAATTTAGTTTCACAAAGATAACCAAAAATGTTCTTTTCTGTCACCAAGATATGGGCATGATACAGAGAAATATGATGCTTATGATGCATCTCTGTTAATAGACCAAGATTGGAAAAAGGGGAAGGAGTAGAGGATAAAAGTGTTCTCTTCTCCCCCTCCACTCCTGCTGCTTTTTTACCTTGGAGATGTCAGTGATCGTTGTAAGTGGAGTCTATGATCTGGTCCTTGAGGCAAATATAACTGGATTGCTTGGAAATAGTAACTATAATGTAATAAAATTTAACATTCCTTTGGTGAGAAAAACACCTCAGCAGCCCAATACTGTGGCTTCTAATTTCAGAAAGGGGAACTACACAAAAATGAAGAGGTTAAACAGAAATTAAAAGGAACAGTGAGGAAAAGTAAAATCCCTGCAAGCCGTATGGAAACTTTTCAAAGACACCATAATAGAGGTCCAACTTGAATATATACCTCACATTAAAAAAACATAGTAAGAAAACAACAAAAAATGCCACCGTGGATTAACAACCAAGTAAAAAAGGCAGTGAGCAATAAAAAGCCATTGTTTAAAAAAGTGGACGTTAAATCCTAGTGATGGAAATAGAAAGGAGCATAAAATCTGTCAAATTAAGTGTAAAAATATAATAAAAGCCAAAAAGGGGTTTGAAGAACAGCTAGCCAAAAACTCAAGAAGTAATAGCAAAATGTTTAAGTACATCAGAAGCGGGAAGCTTGCTAAGCAACCAGTGGGGCCCCTGAACAATCAAGATGTTAAAGGAGCACTCAAAGAAAATAAAGTAATTGTGGAGAAACCAAATGAATTCTTTGCTTCAGTCTTCACAGCTGAGGATGTTAGGGAGATTCCCAAACCTCAGCCATTCTTTTTGGCTGACAAATCTGAGGAATTGTCCCAGATTAAGGTGTCATTAGAGGAGGTTTTGGAACAGATTGATAAACTTGACAGTAACAGGTCACCAGGTCCAGATGGCATTCACCTAAGAGTTCTGAAAGAACTCAAATGTGAAATTGTGGAACTATTAACACTGTGTAATCTATCCTTTAAATCAGCTTCCGTATCTAAGGACTGGAAGATAGCTAAAGTGACACTATTATTTAAAAAGGGCTCTAGAGGTGAGTCTAGCATCAGTACCGGGCAAATCAGTTGAAACTATAGAAAAGAATAAAGTTGTCAGACACATAGATGAACATAATTTGTTGGGGAAAAGTCAGCATGGTTTCTGTAAAGGGAAATCATGTCTTGCTAATCTATTAAGAGTTCTTTGAAGGAGTCAACAAACGTGGACAAGGGAGATCCAGTGGATATATTATACTTAGACTCCCAGAAAGCCTTTAACAAGGTCCCTCTCCAAAGGCTCTTAGGCACAGCTAGTTGTCATGGGATAAGAAGAAAGGTCCTTTCGTGGATTCAGAATGGAGAGAGGTAAAGAGTGGTGTCCCCGAAGTGTCCATCCTAGGGACCAGTCCTATTCAGCTTCTCTATAAATGATCTGGAGAAAGGGGTAAACAGTGAGGTGGCAAAATTTGCAGATGATACTAAACTGCTTAATTGTTAGTATTTAGTATCATCTAAATACTTAATTGTATTAAGACAATTAAGGCCCAAGTAGAGACCAATGTAGACTATGAAGCACTTCAAAAATATCTCACCAAACTAAGTGATTGGACAACCAAGTGGCAAATGAAATTTAATGTTAATAAATATAAAGTAATGCTCATTGGAAAAAATAATCCCAACAGTACAAACAATATGATGGAGACTAATTTAGCTACAATTACTCGACAGAGATCTTGGAGTCAGTGTGGATAGTTCCCTGAAAACATCCACTCAATGTGCAGTGGCAGTCAAAAAAGCAAACAATGTTAGGAATCATTAAAAAGGGGATAGAAAATATATTATTGCCTCTATATAAAACCATCTTGAATATTGAGTACAGATGTGGTCACCTTATCTCAAAAAAGGTATCTTAGCTTTGGAAAAGGTTCAGAAAAAGGCAACTAAAATGATTAGGGGTTTGGAACAGGTTGCATCTGAAGAGAGATTTAAAAAGACTTGGACTTTTCAGCTTAGAAAAGAGAAGACTAAGGGGGAATATGATAGAGGTCTATAAAATCATGACTGGTGTGGAAAAAGTGAATAAAGAAAAGTTATTTACCTGTTCCTATAACATAAGAACTAGGGGTTACCAAATGAAATTAATAGGCAGCAGGTTTAAAGCAAACAAAAGGAAGTTTCTTTATGCAGTGCACAGTCAACCTATAGAACTACTTGTCAGAAGCTGTTGTGAAGACTAGGACTGTAACAGGATTCAAAAAAGAGCTAGATAAAATTCATAAGAGGTTAGGACCATCAGTGACTATTAGCCAGGATGGGTAGGAATGGTGTCCCTAGCTTGTGTTTGTCAGAGGCTGGAAATGGATGACATTAGAGCTGTGGTCACTAACCTGTCGATTGCAAGGCATTTGGGCCTCCTCCATTTTCCCTCCTTCCCCAAGAAGTCCCACTACCTACCTCCAGCGACAATGGAGGTAGTGCTGGCTTCTTGCAGGGTGGAAGGAAGTCTGGCAGCTGCGCATCACTTCTGGGGTTTCAGGAAGTGCAGTGGCTGCTCCCTCTCCCCCAAACAGCAGCAAGGTACCACAACCCAGGTCTGTGGCATGCCGGGGACTTGCTGTGCTGGGGGGAGAGGGGGAAGGAGTACTGGGAGTAGGCGTGTGCCAGGGACTCTGTTCCCTGCTTCCACCAACACCTTGTTCCCTGCCCCCACTGGCAGCCTGTCCCCTGTCACAGAATCCTGTCCCCAGCACCCTTCTCCAGTATCATGTCCCCTGCTCTCACCAGCACAGTTGGGGCCATGTTAGTGAGGCTTGTGGGGGGTTGGAGGTGTTATTTTTTGCATCTCACTTGTGTGGCCCCAGCTGACTTTGCTGTGGGGCAGTGACCCCTGACTCAAAACAGGTTCCCCATCCTTCTCATAAATAAACACAATGCTGAAACTTTTTGTTTGACATATTTTATTTAAAAATGAAGCCTGAACCAACAAACCCCTATTTGGCCCCAGTATCATAACACTCCTTCACCTCCCACCCCCAGACCCTAGATCTGAGCCTATCATACACTGGAACCCACTGTCCTGAGACTCTCACATATCAAAACTCCTGTACCTCCACATCCTGAGTCTTCTGCCACAACACTTCTGCACCATCCACACACAGCAAATCTGTGTCCTGAGCCCATCATACTCCCAGCCTCCCTGCCCTGAGCCCCTCATACATCTCAACCCAAACTCCTGCACCCTCACATCCAGAAACCTGTGGTTTGCTCAGTTCCCCAACCCTCCCCCTGACTCCAACATTCCCCAGCCTGGAGCCCACTCCTCAGAGGTATCCTGGAAAAAACTTTCATGTCCAGGACGCATTTGTTCTTCCGCTTTTTCTTTTTGGTGGAAGAGCAAACATGCATTTTCAGTAACCCCCATATTCCTTGTTCCACGTGGAATAAGGGGGCTTCAGAAAGAAGGGGGTTTTCTGACATTTGGTCCAGTCTAGACAGGCCAAATGTTTGAATAACCTCTTCCTACAGAAGAATCGGGGGTGAGGGGGAGAGGCAGTGTAGTCATACCCTGAGAGTGTATAAGGGCTGGGGAAGCAAGTGATGGAGAGGAGGAAAACAGAGAGGGTAGGGTTTCAAGGAAGGGGTGGGGGCCTTCGGGGTAGGATGGGGTGGTAGGTCTTGGCTTGTTCTGACATTTAAAAAGTGATCTTGGGTGTAAAAGGGTTGGAGACCACTGCTTAGAGAGATCACTTGATGATTATCTGTTCTGTTCACTCCCTCAGGGGCACCTGGCATTGGCCACTTTTGGCAGACAGGATGGGCTGGATGGACCTTTGGTCTGACCCAGTCTGGCTGTTCTTATGATATAAATAACGTGGTTCTCCCAGGTTTTGTTGGACTTTCTAGGAGTAGGCAGAGAACATTCTAAGTATGCATTTTGAGCCCTCAAATTTGAATTGCAGGGATAAGTGGTGTTTAAATTTTTTTTAAAGCTTTCCCCTCTTTTCTCCTGTTAAACAGTGGCCTTAATTGGTTTTAAACAGAGACTTACAGAATGCTGGAGGCATGATGAGACTCCTACTATAACTTTCTTAGTTCTCTACAGGCAGTCCCCGACTTACGCGGATCCGACTTATGTCGGATCCACACTTACGAAGGGGGCTTTTCTCACCCCGGAGCTCACGGGCGGCGGGTCGCCGCCCATGTCCTCCGGGCGAGAAAAGCTTCTCCCGGTCTCCCTCGGCCTGCCTGGGGGGGCC